CTTTTATGTGAAGATCTCCAAGCACTTTACAAATATACATTAACCCTCGCTACCCCCCTGCGATGTGCGGGAAGACGAATATTATTACAATCATTCTACAGAAGTACAAGCAGAGGAAGGTTTGGTTGGCTTGGTGGTAGGCGGTGCTGCGCTTTGCAAAGACAAATGCTAAATTGGACCTTGGCACCTACCCATCAAGCTCATAATGGACTGCAGCTTGTTCCCCTGAATCCCCTCTGCAGAGGTGATACCTTCCTTCTGTGACCTGCCAAACCTCCCCACTCCCCTTCCCAGATCCAGTAGGTTCATTGCCTCTCCTTCCCGTGGCACTCAGCTCCACCACTGAGACCATGCCCTGTCTAGGGCCCACCCACACCTTTTCTTCCTTAAAGCCAATACATGCCCAGTCTCAACAGCCCAGTTGGCTCTGAGGGCTGCAGGCATGGGCCAGGGACTCTGCATACGATCCATGCACTGCAGGTCAAGATCCTCTGCCATGCAGGAACAGTCGTCTGAACCTGAGACTTGAGTGAGGATAGATAATTCCACCCCAGAGCAATTCAGCTTTGCACATGCTTCTTCCAGGATCCTCTTGAACTGATCATCAAACAGCCACCATGTTCTGAGCCTTTTCAGACTGGCTCCATTCGTTTGTTCGTAGCAGACATCTTGCTGCAAGCTCCAGTTGCAATCAACCACTGATGCCACATTTTCTGCTTCACTCACAGGCCATGGGTATGTGTGCAGACTATCCTGGGGGAACCCAGCTGGGCTGATGAAAAACAAATTGTAGCAGCATGACATGAAGCAAATCTGCCCCATCCTGGAAATTTTACTGGGGCTCCAATCCAGGCAATTTCTTCCACTTGTCCTGAGGCCTGGTAGCTCTTTCTGGGGAAAGCTGTTCTGCATATAAGTGACCTCTGAGCTTTCACCTCAACATTCCCTGTTGGAGGGCAGCTCTGTTGGCATGTCCACGTCCTCTGTACACTTTCTGGCTTTACATTTGGGGAATCGCACTGCATTTCTCTGTCCAGTGGATCTTCATCAGAGCTTCTGTGTACACAACAAGCTCTTTCTCTCACACTTCTAAGAGCCGACCCGAACCGTAGCCTTGCCCCCCACCCCGGCTCCTTCTGTATCCCAAATTAACACACTTCAAACTTTGTTTGCTCGCTGTTTTCTTGCGAATTGGTTCAGAGCAGTACGGAGGAGTTCCTTTAAGGTGGGTGTCGTGGTGCCGCCCTGCTGCAGCTGACAACTCTGAAAGCATTGCTTCCTTACAACTGACAATCACATCATAATGAGAATAATACCAATAACAGCGACTCCCGCCCAGTGGTTTGGAAGTGGGCGAGCTATTTTTCTGACACTGAGAAATTCTCTGAATGAAGAGATCAAGCTGACACCAGAGGAGGGCATGTGGCGATGGTTATCTTGATTACAACATCTTGAGATGCAATTATGATTCTCCGGGAATATTTGTTCCACTTAAATATTTCTGCTTTCCTGTGTTTACTTGCCCAACAAGCTTCTTTGCATTTCTAGCTTTAAAACCCCTCAGATCATCCCTGGTGGAACTGCTGGCTCCAAGGACTGTTGCACTGGGTTATCAGGAGGTGCTGCAGGTCGGGACTGGAGCGCCTCTGCAGAGTTATACCAGGCATGGATTTGGCCTGGTGCCCCATGGAAAGAAGTGTGTCAGCATCTTTAGGAGAAAGCCTTCACCAGAGAGAAATGCAAGGCTGCTCAAGAATTTCAGACCCTCTGGGCAGGAGGGCTTTGCAGGGTGCTGTTTTGTGCCCCACAAAGAAAGGGATACAAAAGAGAGAATGTGTGTGTATGTGTGCATGTAGGAAAAGGAGCCCATGTTGAAATACAGGCTTAAAAACCAAGTTTGAAGCTCCAGCCAGCCAGATGCAGCATAGTAGCAGGCCCCAGAGGAAGGACTAGGGGGAGAGCCTGAGGCTGCTGGCTGAAAGGAGCTTTGCTCCTCTGAGCAGAAAAACTGGCTCCAGTAGCTTTGGTTCCTTGACGTGCTCTTTGTATGAAACAGAATTGCATCAAAGCAGCCGCTGGCTCTATCACTAATTCTTTCTCCTCACTGGCCTAGCTGACAAGGCCCTGATTTCCAGTGAGGGGGTCAATATGCCTTGTGGAAGGGAGAGCCTCCTGAGCACAGAGGAGCAGCGGGTATGCTGGAGGCTTCCATGCACCCACACCTCCGATACCGCTGGGATGGGCAGTTCTGTAGACTAAGTCTGGCCTTCACCGTCATCTCTTTCAGGATTGCCCCAGCCATGCTCCTTGTCTGTACAACTTAAAACTGCCAAGCAGAGACAGCCAGCCCTGTCTGGCTGCACAGCAGTATTGTACTGTGGCAAAACACCCACTGGGGACTGAGTGGAGACCGTGTTCTCCTCTGAGCTCTTGGGTGCAATGTCAGGGTGTTTCAGGCACTGTAGAATAAATGGCAGAACATTACCATAGAGGCTTTTCATTGTGGAGGGGAAAAAAATAGTGGAAACTTGTGAATGTGCTTTTATATTTAGTAATTATAAGGAACAAGTCAAGATGAGATGAAGAGGTGAAGCTTAGCGATATGAAAACCCTGGAAATTGCTGTATCAGAGTACTTGAGGCTCTGGCTCAACTTGTTTCTCCTCTCTGGTGGTGAAGTCCTTTATTAGCATGTTGTCTCAGTATTGACAGCTGCTCTGACAGCAGCCAGTGTTGCAGGCTTCAGAGAGCTCACGCACCCCTACCGGCACGGTTCTGCATCTTGAGAGCCAGTGTCTCCTGGGCCTGGAGCCGATGGCCTGCTGATGCTTGAGGATTAATTGCCCATGTTGTTTTCTTCCCAAATAAAACTACAGCAGGTGTTAACTGGGTAAATGCCTGGTGATGCATCTGAAACCGAGCACTGCTCTTACCACTGGAGGTTGCATTGGGCACAGAGAGAGCTCTGCTGTCCTTAGAGGCCACAATCTCTGCCAGGGAAGCCACTTCGTGGTGCTCCTGTTGCATTACAGGGAGAGGTGGTTGGCCCGTGGCCTGCCCCAGCCTGAAGGAGCAGTGGGCTGCTTTCTGTTCGGTCCCTGTGCTTTGACTCATTCAGTTTGGGTTGGCCTGTAGGAATATGCAAACCTTCCCACTGCATCAGGGTATGACCCACAGGGAAGGCTGATAAGTACAGAGTAAAACAGCATCCCTGAGGCTCTAGTCTGACCCCACAGCAGCCTGGCCAGGGAGGTAGAGGCAACACCGCATCCCCAGGATGGGCAGAGAGGGCTGCTTCTGATCATGCCTAGTCCACCCACTCCCCCTCCCATGGGCCAAACCTGGAACCAAGGTGCTGGAGCCACGCTGGGGTTCCCCTCCACAGTCGGTTCCAGGACCTCTGTCTCCATGGGCAGTCATGGGGCAGGTCTTCAGAGAGGATTCCCTGCTGTATTTTCAGGACTGGAGCAGGCAGGCAAGGCATGCAGGGAATACTCCTCCCCGGACATGCCCAGGATGCAGCGAGTGACCTGGTGGGAACTCTACAGTACCCACAGCTGGCAGCGCCGTGGGGCCTGACCTCAATTACTGCTTACTGCATTTGATCACAGTGTAAGAGCCCCTCTTCTGTTCTCTGCAGGTGATTACTTTGGCATCCTGATGGAGGCGAAGGTGACCAGATTCCCATTCAATGTGTTGGACAACCCCATGTACTGGGGCAGCACAGCCAACTACCTGGGTTGGTCCATCATGTGAGTACTGCGCTGCGTCATAGCCGGCCGCTTCCCAATCATGATGTAGGATCAGTGGCAGCATTCATTGTGATGTCTTGGAGGGGACATGCTGTCTTGGCCACTGTCAGGGACAATGCTCACCACTCAGGGAATAGGGTGCCTCAGTACCACTTGGGTGACATGGTGAGATTGGGAGGTGGGTGAAATCCTTTCCTCTTAGGTTGCAGATCTGCAAGGAGGAGGAGACGGTTGTGAGGGGTCTCTTCACCTGTAAGAAGCAGGGCAGGACCTCACCAGGGAGGTCTACCAAGACAATGCCCTGCCTTCCACATGACATCCCTGAGCCTTCCCTTCACAGGTGTGATACAGCAGCAGGCAATCGTGAGCTGGGCCTGCATTGTGTTCCTCCAGAAAGCCATGAAAGAGTAGCAGGAGCCCCCCACACTGGCTTCCCTGCCACCCCAGCTCCGCGCCCAGTGCAACATTGTGGAGCGAGAACCAGTGGCAGCATTTTGTTCCAGGGGCATAAGGAACTTCTCTAGAGATGAAGGTTGTCTTCAGAGTGGGACTTGCAGTGGCGCTCTAAGGGAATGATGTGCCCAGATCACACTGGGTTTCAGCAGGAGCTGAGTATCTAGCTTTCCTACGTTCCTTTAACATCTTAGCCTGAGCTGTTAGCAGGGGACTGCTCTAGTGATTGTGGCATGCTGCTAGGGCACAACACGATCATGCAGGCCAAGTCAGCCCCTAGCACACAAACGTGATGGAACTATTTGCTGAGTCTTTCTCTTCCATGGAAAGAATTTAGAGGTACTTCATTCAAATTAACTCCTGGCACCCTGGGGACATGACAGAGACTGGAGAGTGAGGTTGGAAACCATCTGCATGTTCTGAATTAGTCAACGAATCCCCCCGTGAAGGCAAAATGTCACACATCTGGCTTTCAGCGCCTTTGGCATATCCCACAACACAGCACGCACCTCTGCTCTGCAGATCCTTTGAGCGCTAATTTTATAGGAAACTAAATCATCTCCAGGCTCTGGAGAGATGAAACCCGAGTATCCGACCCTGTGTAAAACAGAGGCCTTGGCAGACTCTGCAGAGTGGAAAAATCAACATCCCAGACCAAATGTATCCCTGGCGTAAGTGCATGGCAGCCAATTGAGTGATAGCAGGGATTAGCCTGGTCCAATAATTGCCTTTCTCCAAAAAAAAAA